GGTGTCTCAAAGGTGAGGAGTACAAAGACAAATGCATGGTGCCTACTGTGAGACATGGTGGTGGCAGTGTCCTTCTGTGGGGCTGCATGAGTGCTGCTGGTGTCAGGGAGCTGCATTTCATTGATGGTGTCATGAATTCACAGATGTACTGCTCTATATTGAAAGAGAAGATGTTCCCATCACTCTGTGCCCTCGATCGTCGTGCACTTTTCCAACATGACAACGACCCAAAACACACATAAAAGGCCACTGTTGCATCTCTGAAGAAGACCCGGGTGCAAGGGATTAAGTGGCCAAGTATGTCTCCTGATTTGAACCCAATCCAACACCTATGGGGAGAATTCTGGGGAGACAAGCTGAGCATCGCTCTCCATCCAGCATCCAGGATCTGAAAGAGGTCGTTCTTGAAGAATGGGAAATGATCGATGTTGCAATATATCTCCAACTTGTCCATTCCATGCCTAGAAGACTCGGTGCCGTCCTTACAAATCATGGAGGTCACAGAATACTCGATGGAGGAGTCCTTGTTGTGGGGGGGGATTCATTTCTGCATCAACTCATTGGAGTAAAACTGAAGATTTTGTCATCGAAGTTCTATTATGAACCTTCCATGTAATGAGCCGAACAAATGTTCAAACTCCGGTCAGTCCCCACGGTGGAGATAATGACTCAAATCTTACTTTGCAGAAGAGGTGGACTCAGTTATGCTGAGCACTGTGTGGGGGGGGGGACTCCTGATGTGAATGGGGGAGGGGGAAAGATGGTGGGTGTCAACCCCATCTCAACCCTTAAGCCAGAGGTCTCCAAACTTTCCAAAGGGACAATTTACTGTTCTTTAGACCTTGTGGGGGCCAGTGGGAGTAGAACATGCCCTTGTGTCAATGGTAGCAAACAAAGCCCCATCATTGGTGTCAGTGGGAGGAATAGTGCCCCATCATTGGTATCAGTGGGAGGAATAGTGCCCCATCATTGGTATCGGTGGGAGGAATAGTGCCCCATCATCGGTGTCAGTGGGAGGAATAGTGCCCCATCATTGGTATCGGTGGGAGGAATAGTGTCCCATCATTGGTTCGGTGGGAGGAATAGTGCCCCATCATTGGTGTCAGTGGGGGGAATAGTGTCCCATCATTGGTGTCGGTGAGAGGAATCGTACCCCATCATTGGTGTCGGTGGGAGGAATAGTGCTCCATCATTGGTGTCAGTGGGGGGAATAGTGCCCCATCATTGGTGTCAGTGGGATGAATAGTGCCCCATCATTGGTATCAGTGGGATGAATAGTTTCCCATCATTGGTATCAGTGGGAGGAATAGTGCCCCATTATTGGTGTCAGTGGGAGGAATAGTGCCTCATCATTGGTGTCAGTGGGAGGAATAGTGTCTCATCATTGGTATCAGTGGGAGGAATAGTGCCCCATCATTGGTGTCAGTGGGAGGAATAGTGCCCCATCATTGGTATCAGTGGGAGGAATAGTGCCCCATCATTGGTATCGGTGGGAGGAATAGTGCCCCATCATCGGTGTCAGTGGGAGGAATAGTGTCCCATCATTGGTGTCGGTGAGAGGAATCGTACCCCATCATTGGTTCGGTGGGAGGAATAGTGCCCCATCATTGGTGTCAGTGGGGGGAATAGTGTCCCATCATTGGTGTCGGTGAGAGGAATCGTACCCCATCATTGGTGTCGGTGGGAGGAATAGTGCTCCATCATTGGTGTCAGTGGGGGGAATAGTGCCCCATCATTGGTGTCAGTGGGATGAATAGTGCCCCATCATTGGTATCAGTGGGATGAATAGTTTCCCATCATTGGTATCAGTGGGAGGAATAGTGCCCCATTATTGGTGTCAGTGGGGAGGAATAGTGCCTCATCATTGGTGTCAGTGGGAGGAATAGTGTCTCATCATTGGTATCAGTGGGAGGAATAGTGCCCCATCATTGGTATCAGTGTGAGGAATAGTGCCCCATCATTGGTGTCAGTGGGAGGAATAGTGCCCCATCATTGGTGTCAGTGGGAGGAATAGTGCCCCGTCATTGGTATCAGTGGGAGGAATAGTGCCCCATCATTGGTATCAGTGTGAGGAATAGTGCCCCATCATTGGTGTCAGTGGGAGGAATAGTGCCCCATCATTGGTGTCGGTGAGAGGAATAGTGTCCCATCATTGGTGTCGGTGGGAGGAATAGTGTCCCATCATTGGTGTCAGTGGGAGGAATAGTGTCCCATCATTGGTGTCGGTGGGAGGAATAGTGTCCCATCATTGGTGTCAGTGGGAGGAATAGTGCCCCATCATTGGTGTCGGCGGGAGGAATAGTGCCCCATCATTGGTGTCAGTGGGAGGAATAGTGCCCCATCATTGGTATTAGTGGGAGGAATTGTACCCCATCATTGGTGTCGGTGGGAGGAATAGTTCCCCATCATTGGTGTCGGTGGGAGGAATAGTTCCCCATCATTTGTGTCGGTGGGAGGAATAGTGCCCCATCATTGGTATCGGTGGGAGGAATAGTGCCCCATCATCGGTGTCAGTGGGAGGAATAGTGCCCCATCATTGGTATCGGTGAGAGGAATCGTACCCCATCATTGGTGTCGGTGGGAGGAATAGTGCCCCATCATTGGTGTCAGTGGGGGGAATAGTGTCCCATCATTGGTGTCGGTGAGAGGAATCGTACCCCATCATTGGTGTCGGTGGGAGGAATAGTGCTCCATCATTGGTGTCAGTGGGGGGGAATAGTGCCCCATCATTGGTGTCAGTGGGATGAATAGTGCCCCATCATTGGTATCAGTGGGATGAATAGTTTCCCATCATTGGTATCAGTGGGAGGAATAGTGCCCCATTATTGGTGTCAGTGGGAGGAATAGTGCCTCATCATTGGTGTCAGTGGGAGGAATAGTGTCTCATCATTGGTATCAGTGGGAGGAATAGTGCCCCGTCATTGGTATCAGTGGGAGGAATAGTGCCCCATCATTGGTATCAGTGTGAGGAATAGTGCCCCCATCATTGGTGTCAGTGGGAGGAATAGTGCCCCATCATTGGTGTCGGTGAGAGGAATCGTACCCCATCATTGGTGTCGGTGGGAGGAATAGTGTCCCATCATTGGGTGGTGTCGGTGGGAGGAATAGTGTCCCATCATTGGTGTCAGTGGGAGGAATAGTGTCCCATCATTGGTGTCGGTGGGAGGAATAGTGTCCCATCATTGGTGTCAGTGGGAGGAATAGTGCCCCATCATTGGTGTCGGCGGGAGGAATAGTGCCCCATCATTGGTATCAGTGGGAGGAATAGTGCCCCATCATTGGTGTCAGTGGGAGGAATAGTGCCCCATCATTGGTGTCAGTGGGAGGAATAGTGTCCCATCATTGGTGTCAGTGGGAGGAATAGCGCCCCATCATTGGTGTCAGTGGGAGGAATAGTGCCCCATCATTGGTGTCAGTGGGAAATATAGTAAACAAGAGATCCCTGTGCTCAAATCCATACAGCTAGTGCATGCATTTATCCATCAGGTGCTAAAGGGGTGTAACCACATTAACTCTAGAAATTCTGAAGGACCCTCTGCACACTGGTATATACCCTTTCAAGCTGGCCAACTGCGTCAAAGTAATCCCTCTATGGCAGAGTAGGACTGGCCATAGAGGGATTACTTTGACGCAGTTGGCAGCTTAAACATGTATTGCAATATGTGTGAACCAAATATCCCTATTTGTTGCATAGTTTGCTTGAAAGGGTATATACCAGAGTGCAGAGGGTCCTTCAGAATTTCTAGTGGGAAATATAGTGCCCATTGATGGGGTCAGTGGTAGGAATAGTGCCCAACTGTTGATATCAGTGTAAGGAATTACGCCCCAATGTTGGTGTCAGTGGGAGCCCCAAGGGCTGGATAAAGGCAAGCAAAGGGTCACATCTGGCCCCGGGGCCGCAGTTTGGAGACCCTGCCTTAAGCAAAGAGTAATAGTGACAGACAGGGACGAGGAAGAACAAGTGCTGCTTTGCAAAGCGTGGCTATTTTCATGGTTTGTACCTGACAATGAGCATTCTATGCAGACAGAAGGGGGCCACCTGGGGACTCGATCACTGAGAGAAGTAAAAGTTCAGTAATTAACTGACAACCATTTGGATGACTGTAAATTGTCGATAATGTTGCAAATCATCAGGCAGACAGAATCCTCCTGACAATAGTCATCGATGAAGACAGAAGAGGGCGATGTGCGACGATCTGCAGACTATTGTTGGGTTTTTTTGCCGCTTTCCTTCCATAAAGTTGGAATTTCGGTCACATTTCGGACCCCCACCTGCTGCTCAGAACCCGAGACAGGAAAAGCGAACTGCACGGGCCGTGTCTGTCACAGGCTTGGAAAGTCGGATCCCAGACTTCCCCGCACTCTGAGGGCCACAGAGGGACACTTAGATTTTTATTAAAAAGAGACACTTTCTCAGACTGACCGAGCCGGGCTTAGCAGGGACCCAACAGTCCTTTCCGGGAACGGCGTCGAGGTAGAAAAAACAAAACAAAAAAAGATCGATCGTTAAATCCAGGAACTGTGCAACGTTTTCTTCCACGGAAAAACCAACCGATGAAAAATGATATTATGCAGTATGAAGCAGGAACAGACTGACAACTCATGGGGCCCCCGGGGCAATAGGAGATCATGGGGCCCCTGTGTCCTTGCCCACACTGAAACCACACCCAAAAAAGCCCAGGGGCATCTCATGGGGCTCCCTACTGACCCGGGCCCTCGGGCAGTGCCTGAGTTCCCAAATGGTCAGTCCCCCCTGATAGGAAGGGTTCGGTCCGTTTTGATTTATTGATTATGTCTGAAAGTTTATATGTTTAATGATTTGTCTAAATTTACCAAAAAAACAAAAAATGTTTTTGTTTTACCCCCAAATAAATTATATATTTATAGTTACATAGTCCGGCTGAATAAAGACAAAAGTCCATCCGTATCTATATACATATATTGCCGAAAGTATTGTCTCCGCCCCCCCTATATTCATGTGATTCAGGTGTTCCAATCCCTTCCATATCATGTGATTCAGGTGTTCCAATCCCTTCCATATCATGTGATTCAGGTGTTCCAATCCCTTCCATATCATGTGATTCAAGTGTTCCGATCCCCTCCATATCATGTGATTCAGGTGTCCCAAACCCCTCCATATCATGTGATTCAAGTTTTCCAATCCCCTCCATATCATGTGATTCAGGTGTCCCAAACCCCTCCATAAATGTGATTCAGGTTTTCCAATCCCCTCCAATCATGTGATTCAGGTGTTCCAATCCCCTCCATATCTTGTGATTCAGGTGTTCCAAATCCCCCCCATATCATGTGATTCAGGTGTTCCAATCCCCTTCCATATCATGTGATTCAGGTGTGTCCAATCCCCTCCCATCATCATGTGATTCAGGTGTTCCAATCCCTTCCACATGTGATTCATGTTCCATTCATGTGATTCAGGTGTTCCAATCCCCTCCATATCATGTGATTCAGATGTCCCCAATCCCTCCACATCATGTGATTCAGGTGTTTCAATCCCCTCCATATCATGTGATTCAGGTGTTCTAATCCCCTCCATATCATGTGATTCAGGTGTTCCAATCCCCTCCATATCATGTGATTCAGGTGTTCCAATCCCCTCCATATCATGTGATTCAGGTGTCCTAAACCCCTCCATATCATGTGATTCAGGTGTTCCAAATCCCCTCCGTATCATGTGATTCAGGTGTCCCAATCCCCTCCCAATCATGTGATTCAGGTGTCCCAATCCCCTCCATATCATGTGATTCAGGTGTCCAATCCCTTCCATATCATGTGATTCAGGTGTCCTAAACCCCTCCATATCATGTGATTCAGGTGTTCCAATCCCCTCCGTATCATGTGATTCAGGTGTTCCAAACTCCTCATATCATGTGATTCAGGTGTTCCAATCCCCTCCCAATCATGTGATTCAGGTGTTCCAATCCCCTCCCATATCATGTGATTCAGGTGTTTCAATCCCCTCCATATCATGTGATTCAGGTGTCCCATCCCCTCCACATCATGTGATTCAGGAGTGTTCCAATCCCCTCCATATCATGTGATTCAGGTGTCCAAAACCCCCATATCATGTGATTCAGGTGTTCCAGGTGATTCAGGTGTCCTAAACCCCTCCATATCATGTGATTCAGGTGTTTCCAATCCCCTCCGTATCATGTGATTCAGGTGTCCCAAACCCCTCATATCATGTGATTTCAGGTGTTCCAATCCCCTCCATATCATGTGATTCAGGTGTTTCAATCCCCTCCATATCATGTAATTTAGATATCCCAATCCCCTCCATATCATGTGATTCAGGTGTTCCAATCCCCTCCATATCATGTGATTCAGGTGTTTCAATCCCTCCATATCATGTAATTTAGATATCCCAATCCCCTCCACATCATGTGATTCAGGTGTTCCAATCCCCTCCATATCATGTGATTCAGGTGTTCCAATCCCCTCCCATCATGTGATCATGTGATTCAGGTGTTCCAATCCCCTCCATATCATGTGATTCAGGTGTTCCAATCCCCTCCCATATCATGTGATTCAGGTGTTCCAATCCCCTCCATATCATGTGATTCAGGTGTTCCAATCCCCTCCAGCCCATGTGACACAGGTGTATACAATGCCCCTAGGCATGCAGGTGTATACAATCAAGCCCCTAGGCATGCTACAGACGGCTTCTACAAACATTGGTGAAAGAATGGGTTGCTCTCAGGAGCTCAGTGACTCCAAGCGTGGTCCCGTGATAGGTGGCCACCTGGGCAATAAGTCCATCCGTGACATTTCCTGGCTACTAAATATTCCACGCTCAACTGTTAGTGGGATTATAACAAAGTGGAAGCAACTGGGAACAACAGCCACTCAGCCACCAAGTGGTAGGCCACGTCACATGACAGGGCGGGGTCAGCGCATGCTGAAGCGCACAGTGCGCAGAAGTCGCCAACTGTCTGCAGAGTCAATAGCTAAAGACCTCCAAACTTGGTGTGGGCCTTCAGATGAGCCCAACAACACAGTGCGTAGAGAGCTTCATGGAATGGGTTTCCATGGCCGAGCAGCTGCATCCAAGCCTTCCATCACCAAGTGCACTGCAAAGCATCGGATGCCGTGGTGTAAAGCACGCCGCCACTGGACTCTAGAGCAGTTGAGGTGTGTTTCCCTGGAGGGACCAATCACGCTTCTCTGTCTGGCCATCCGATGGACGTGTCTGGGTTTGGTGGTAACCGGGAGAACGGTACTTGCCTGACTGCATTGTGCCAAGTGTAAAGTTTGGTGGAGGGGGGGATTATGGTGTGGGGTCGTTCCTCAGGGGTTGGGCTTGGCCCCCTAGTTCCTGTGAAGGGAACTCTTAAGGCGACATTTTGGACAATTTCATGATCCCAACTTTGTGGGAAGAGTTTGGGGATGGCCCCTTCCTGTTCCAACATGACTGCCCACCAGTGCACAAAGCAAGGTCCATAAAGACATGGAGGAGCCAGTTTGGGGTGGAGGAACTTGACTGTCCTGCACAGAGTCCTGACCTCAACCCCATAGAACACCTTTGGGATGAATTAGAGCGGAGACTGCGAGCCAGGCCTCCTTCCCCGACATCAGTGCCTGACCTGACAAATGTGCTTCTGGAAGAATGGTCCAACCTTCCCATAGACACCCTCCTAAACCTTGTGGACGGCCTTCCCAGAAGAGTTGAAGCTGTTATAGGAGCAAAGGGCGGGGGCCCCAACTCAATATTGAACCCTACGGACTAAGACTGGGAGGCCATTAAAGGTCATGTGCGTGGAAAGGGCGGGGCCAACTCAATATTGAACCCTACGGACTAAGACTGGGGGGCCATTAAAGGTCATGTGTATGGAAAGGGCGGGGCCAACTCAATATTGAACCCTATGGACTAAGACTGGGGGGCCATTAAAGGTCATGTGCGTGGAAAGGGCAGGGCCAACTCAATATTGAACCCTACGGACTAAGACTGGGGGGCCATTTAAAGGTCATGTGTGTGGAAAGGGCGGGGGCCAACTCAATATTGAAGCCTACGGACTAAGACTGGGGGCCATTAAAGGTCATGTGTGTGGAAAGGGCGGGGCCAACAGAGATGGTTATAATGCCTTTCTTGTTCAATACAAACCTAGGGACTAAGGACTGGGGCAGCTGTAATATGTGGAGTGCAGTGGGGGGCTCTTTCTCTTACCATTTCCTGAAAAGCAATCCACAGTGTATTGCATTTCAGATGGCGGTATAGCAGCGACTGGCAGTCATTCAGGAGGAATTTCTGCCTCTTGATGCCTAATTTTTTTTTGTTTAATTGCTAAACAGAAATCTTACACATTGCAGCACAGAGCAGGCGTTGGCGTTCATGACGTCATTGGCAGCCCAATCAAGTTAATCTCCGTTGTTTGTATACATTTCCAGCGCAATATTTCACAGGCCGATTTTTTTTTTTTTTCAATGCTATGAAACAGCTTGGCAAAGTTTTGACGTGCTAATCCTCGTTCCGTGGCGTGGAGGAAAAAATGTCAAGCAGATCGGCCGCATCCGAGCGTGATTACAAAAAAAAAAAAAAAACGGGAGAGTGAACGTCCTGACAGAAAGGAGCTTCAAAGGAGCCCTCTCCCCGCTCGCCGTGACGAAGTCCAGGCTTCGCTGCGTTTGACGGTTTTGTCAGGGAAGGCCGTAAGATCAAACATGCGTTCTATTTTAGAATATTTTATGATTATTTAATACCTGACAAGCTATTGATAGTTGAAGGGAGAGCCGTCACCTGCAACATGCTGGCCTACAGCTATAAAGTGGGGATTGGAGATAGACGCCTCCTTATGGGACAGACCCGGTATTGCAAGTGGACCCAGAATAAAATCCAATGGACACCACTTATGGACAGACTGGGTATTGCAAGTGGACCCAGAAAAAATCCAATGGACACCCCTATGGACAGACCGGGTATTGCAAGTGGGCCCAGAATAAAATCCAATGGACACCCCTTATGGACAGACTGGTATTACAAATGGAACCAGAATAAAATCCAAAGGACACCTCTTTATGGACAGACCGGGTATTGCAAGTGGGTCCAGAATAAATTCCAATGGACACCCCTTATGGACAGACTGGGTATTACATGTGGAACCAGAATAAAATCCAAAGGGACACCTCTTTATGGACAGACCGGGTAGTGCAAGTGGGCCCAGAATAAATTCCAATGGACACCCCTTATGGACAGACTGGGTATTGCAAGTGGACCCAGAATAAAATCCAAGGACCCCTCTTTATGGACAGACCGGGTATTGCAAGTGGACCCAGAATAAATTCCAATGGACACCCCTTATGGACAGACTGGGTATTGCAAGTGGACCCAGAATAAAATCCGAAGGACGCCTCTTTATGGACAGACCGGGTATTGTAAATGGACCCACAATAAATTCCTATGGACACCCCTTATGGACGCACTGGGTATTACAAGTGGAACAAGAATAAATTCCGAAGGACGCCTCTTTATGGACAGACCAGGTATTGTAAGTGGACCCAGAATAAACTCCAACATCACAAGAAACGTTTTCCAGGGACACCTCTGCTGAACTGGATCCTTCGAGGTTCCTACACACAAAGCTGTCAACAGAGAAGCCCTGCACATGGCTAAAAAGACTGAAATTTACTTCTATGCCACACCTCCAAAAACTCTGTTAGAGCTTGTTTACAATCGTGATTAGGGGGAGAGTAAAAGCATGCAGCTGTACAGTGTTTTACCACCCCCAATCAGTCCCTCTTAAGCTGCAAAGGCAGCAGAGGGATGAGGTATACATGCCAAGGTCACTGTGCTTTGTATCACGGTGTGGCGTTTGATACCACTCACTGAACGTGAGTCATCCATCATTGCACATGGATGTGGCATGGGGATGCAGGTTTTTTTTGTGGGGCACTGTAGAAGGTCAAAGAGTACTGTGGGGTACTAAGGGCTTTCAGAGGATCTGGGGGCACTGTGGGTTGAGAGACAATGCAGGCCAGGGAGCTTTGGGCACTATGGGAGAGTCTGGGGGCTGAGGGCTCTCAGAGGGTCGGGGGTAGGTTGAGTGATGTTGTAGGCCACTATGAGAGTTTGGGGGTATTGCAGGCACTGAAGGATCTCAGAGAGTCTAGGAGCACTGTGGGAGGTTGAGGGACAATGCAGGATACTATGAGATGTTGGGGGGTACTGTGGGTGGTGAGGGTCTTAGAGGGTCTGAGGGCACTATTCTAGGTTGAGGAACACTGCAGATGCTGAGGGCTCTCAGAGGGTCCAGGGGCATGGTGGGAGGTTGAGGACTTTCGGAGGGTCTGGGGTGCACTGTGTTAGGTTGAGGGACACTGTAGATCTCTGTGAGAGGTTTAGGGAACTGTGGATGCTAAGGGCTCTCAGAGGGCCTGGGGCAATATGGGAGTTTTGGGGGGGGGGGGGGGCAGTGCAGGCACTGAGGGATCTCAGAGGGTCTGGGGGCATTGTGGGAGGTTGAAGGACAATGCAGGCCACTATGAAGAGGTTGGGGGGGGCACTGTAAGTTCTGAGGACTTTTGGAGGGGTGCACTGTGGTAGGTTGAGGGACACTGTAGACTCTCTGAGAGGTTGAGGAAATGTGGATGCTAAGGGCTCTCAGAGGGTCTGGGGGCAATATGGGAGTTTGGGGGGGGGGGGGTAGTGCAGGCACTGAGGGATCTCAGGGGGTCTGGGGGCATCATGGGAGGTTGAGGGACAATGCAGGCCACTATGGGAGCTTGTGGGCACTATGGTAGGATGGGGGCACTGTGGGTGCTGAGGGCTCTCAGAGGGTCATGGGGGGCACTGTGGTAGATTGAGGTACAGTGCAGGCTACTATGAGAGAATGGGTGTAATATGGGTGCTGAGGGCTCTTAGAGGGTCTGGGGGCACTATGGTTGATTGGGGGGGGACCTCAGATGCTGAGGGATCTCAGGGGATCTGGTGGCACTGTGGGAGGTTGAGGGACACTGCAGGCCACTATGAGAGGTTGTGGGCACTATGAGAGCACTGTGGGTTCTGAGGACTCTCAAAGGGTCTGGGGGTACTATAGGAGGTTGGTGGGCACTGTGAGGGCTTTCAGAGGGTCTGGGGGCACTGTGGAAGGGTTAGGAGCACTGTGGGCCAGTATGGGAGGTTGGGGGCACTGTGGGTGCTGAAGGCTCTCAGAGGGTCCAGGGGTACTGTGGAAGGTTGAGGGGCATTGTGAGCCACTCTGAGAGGTTGGGGGGGAATGTGGGTGCTGAGGGTTCTCAGAGGGCCTGGAGACATTGTGGAAGGTTGAGGGACACTGCAGGCCACTATGCAAGGTTGTGGGCACTATGAGAGGTTGGGGGGCACTGTGGGTGCTGAGGACTCTCAAAGGGTCTGGGGGTACTATGGGAGGTTGGGGGGGGGGGGGGGACTGTGAAGACTGAGGGCTTTCAGAGGATCGGGGGGCACTGTGGAAGGTTGAGGGACAC